TATCGGCTCATCCCTAGTCACATAGGGTATAGCTTTGTTTTTGTATGTATGACATTAGTTAAAACCTTACTAGCTAATGTCTCAATCAGAAATGAATCATGGAACGAGGCTTTGTATCGAACTTTTCTGGTGGCATACTTTTCTGAAATGTGTAATATTGTTGTTGCCTCAGTATTACAGGTGTTATTAATGCATGGGGAAAAAACTTGCCTGACTTTATCATAAAATTTTTGAATTGATCAGTTCTTGGGTGCCTTCGCTAAACATCTCAACCAAACATTAGTTCTTCCACCATGGATAAACTTCCCAAAATTCTTGTCAATGGGGGTGGAGAGGGATTAGCAGCACTCAAACAGAGGTCCTACTTCAACAGTTTGATTGGTTTGACCCCCAAAAAATTTGACCAATTGACATGTTTTAATTACCATCAATTAGCAGCGATTTTCCTTGAAGAAGTGAATTTGATACCCAACTACCCAGCATGTATAATGCACCAATGCCCAATTTGGGACTTTGGCCCATTACATTGAATTTAAGCTTATAACTAACAACCATAGATTGCCATTAAGACAAATATCTGAATAAAACACTGCACATGGCATATTATTTTTAGGTTTTTGCTACAGATTCAGGGATAGTGATAACGAGTGTAAGATGAAAGAGGGCAATCCATTTGGTCCATTTTGGGATCATTTTGGAGTGGATTTTGACAGCTATATTGAACACAAAGGTCTTCTCTATGGCACTGATTTTGAACCTGTTAAGAATGACTGGAATACGAGGTACTGAGAATTAATATTAGCCAAGGATTGTTTAGAAAACTCATTTCCAATCTATTTGGTAATTTGTGTTCATTTGATGAACTGCTAGATTATAGTTTGCTAATCACATCTTTGTCTACATCTAAACTACATTTGTCACTGTTTGTAGTTTGCCTTAACCCATTGAGTTGCATTGTGCCCTACTTTATCATTTTACTCTGTCTAACACCAGGCAATTTTACTTGTCAAGGAGAGTGCTGGCGTTTAATGGATTAACTGGCCTATCTGCCCATGTCTCTAGTAGTTAATCCATTGAGTCACATTGCACCCTGATGCACTCTACTTTATTATTTTACTCATCAAGGGGAGAGCACTAGTGCTTAATGGGTTAAACAGCTCCCATCTGAAATTCCACTTCAATTTGTTTAAATGTGTATTCTGAAGGTTTCCAAGCGCGAAGTATCCTGTAATTGCATTGATGGGTGCACCTGGAGATTTTCCAGTTCTGGAACGAAACAGAAGGCTGCAAAAGTATCTACAATGGTCAGATGAAATTAACAAAATATCTGATGAATTTATTAAGAATGTCTTGCCTGAAGGACCTTTTGTTGGTATCCACTTGCGGACAGGTTCAGACTGGGTAATAGAAATGTTATATACAGTTATATCAATACTGTTATTTTAGTAATTGTTGTATGTTAGTACACAACAGATATTTCCCCAATTTGAATGCACATACACACGAAGACATGATATATACGATAATATTTTGATTTACAAGAACAAGTCTGTATAATACAGAATTTCAGTACTAATGCCGCACGTAATGTAAAAGATGGGTTGACATTACTAGTGTAATGGTGATATTGATGGTGGTGGTAGTGCCGTAGGTGGTGGTGATGGTAGTCGTGATAATGCAGATCAGCACAAAGCTGTATAGGAACAAATTCTGTGATTGGTTTATTATAGAAATGAAACACAAACTACCAGGGACGTCTCCACTGGGGGTGACTAACACCGACATTTTTGAAGTTTGAAAAGTTGGTCAAAATAGTTGTCATGATCACTTTTGATCGCTTGTTGGTTTTTCAAATTGGTTTACCTTGTTAACTAACTATTGTAGTACTCAAAAGCGCAAAGTATTTTGACTCGCGGGCTTTTCACCTTGTCTTAAGGTTACAGGACACCCTTTTTTGCGTTTTGCGGAAAATCGCTACTGCGCGCTCAATATCAGTCCGATTTTCATCAAATTTTCACCAAATGTTCGCCAGTTGTAAAATTAACAAACAATAAAATAATATAAGAATTATTCAGGAAAATCTTAAATCGCGGTACCGTTACGCTTTTGAGTTGTGCTCCTGCTGGTTTTAAGATATATTTATGAAAATATCATTTTTATACAGTAAAATAGTTCTAAAAAATTGTGTTCGGAATTTTTTGTTTATTTCGTACGACTGCAATATATTTTTGAATTGTTTGAGTGAATTGCTCTTTATTATTAAAATATCCAAAATTAAAAAAAAGCCGAACACAATTTTGAAACTGACGTCTTTAGCTATGTCCTGTGAAAATTTGAGAAAAATTGGTCAAAACCCGCAGGAGCACAACTCGTTTGAAAATCAGTAATTACCGTAAAATTCTTCGGGAGAAAATTGAATTTGAATATTACATTTTCAATGTTTTTCTTATTGCAGCGAAATGTATTTTATTAAATAACTCTGCGAGTTTTCAACATTTTTCGTTCAAACTTGGTCAGATAGTAGAACTAGTCTAATGCTTTCATGGAAACCAATAAAAAAAATTTAGGCAAAATTAACACTCAAAGATGTTCTGTAACCTTAACGACTTAAGCATTTTATAGTCTTTCCATCACAAATTTGATGGAGTCAGCCCTTTGAAAAATGAAAAGTTGGTCAAATGTTTGACTTCGCGACGTCCTTGTAAGTTATACAATATATTTTCTGAAGAACGGTGGCCAATTGCAAAACACGTCCATTCTAGCTTCGACCAGTTCGTGCTTACTGTATGATGGTGGTATTAATTGGGTCAACAATAATGAGAATAGTTTAAAACTGTCCCGGCTGGGACGACTTTCTGAGGCCTGACAGCTTAATTTTTCTTTTCACCATGTAGAAAAATGCCTGCAATCATATAGGAGAAGATTCACAACGACTATTTTCGTCGCCCCAATGCACTGGCTACGACAATGAATACAAACTGACAACAGACATGTGCTGGCCTTTAAAGAAAGCAATCGCAAAAAAGACAAGAAACATGGTGAAACAGTACAAGGCAAATTCTGTGTTTATTGCAACTGATAATGATCCATATACCCCAGTTATTGAAAAGGAATTGAAAACATTGAAACGGACGGTAAGTACTAGTTTTTCATCCATAAAACCAGGGGCAGGGCCCGGAGGGGCGGATCTAGCCTCATCTGCAAGGAGGGGTGCAGGTTTTCCATGGGGTGGTGCATGAGGGAGCCTTACTACCCACTCTCCTCTGCAGTCTGCAACGC